GAAAAATGTATCAAACACCCATCGCAGAAAAATTTCTTATGCCCGTTCGAGGACATTTGGGCGGACACCAATCTAGATAAATGTTTTATCCAACAATAGTGGCTCTCACCCGAATCATTCGTTATAAGGAGCAAGTTCACATGTTTACTCATTCTTTTCTTCGAATAATAGAGTGGGCCGACAACGTGGTATTTAACTTGTTGATTTTCTATTACGCTTTCTAACCCATAAACGTTGATGGAGCAATCATTGAGTATTTCAAATTTTGGAATTTTACTCACTTTCATAGGAAACTCTATACCACTCAGATTCAAAACTGTAGAGAAGTGCGGGTATGAAGATATCTCACAATGTTTGGCCCTTGCTGGATATAGGGCGGACGTAACGGCCCAAGCAAAACAGCATTCATCCTGATTCACCACATTCACTACCGCCCTCTTATTGTCTATGAAACTAGGTAGTTTGATGTAGGAACACCCACGTAGCGGACTGTATTTATTGATGTTTATTTCGAGAAATAGTATTTTCTCTAGAGCCCAACCTGTAACAATAGAAAAGTGATTGTTTTATTTATTCAAAGAATTGAGTTATATAGGTGTGATAATGCAGATATTCAAATCATTCTCAACTCACCGGAATCGCGTTCCTCAAATTCAGTTGTTTGGTTCACGATGATGTCTTTGAATGTATCGATGATGGCATCCAAATCAAGGGATGAATCTACGATGTGATTCGGTGTCGCAAAGGATTTGATGTCGTGAAGATCCTGAGATTGTAGAATATATCTACCGAATACTTCCATATTAACCTTGATGGTGTGGTGAATCGACAGCATATTCCCCAATAGGGATGATAAAGTCACCTTATTTTCGGTAAAGAACGTGTTATAATCCAAGACATCCGTTCTACATTCCAATCTATAACTGATAATGCGACACTTGAATGCGTTTTCGATAACATATACACCATCTCTATAATTAACGCAAGCGTTCGAACGATGTTCCAAAGTCCTTTTGTGGGCAGCCATTTTATCGATTGGAACGGTTTTATTGCAAACGGTACACGCTTGCATGTTGCCAGACGTTGATGCTTGATGAATAGTGTCACTCAACCGCGGCCTCTTCGACATTGGTGGATCGAGATTTCCCACACACGACTTTTTTTGGTGGCGACGTAAATTGTCACTGCGGGTGAAAGATTGGCCACAAACGCAGGTCAACATGTTTATCACTCGCGAAAAGAAACGATAGAGTTGAACGATCGACGATGTCAGGAAGACTACAGTCTGGGCATGCAGAAATCGGATTTATAGAAGAGGGGAGTCGTGGCGTAGCCTCACCCCACTACACCATCAAACAGCCTTGGGAAGAAGAACACATGCGCACGAGAGTGGATACACTCAACCCAAGGCCACCACGACAATTGCCCGAGATGAAACCTCCGTATCCCTCCCAAGGTCACTCCCAAGGTCACTCCCAAGGTCACTTCTAAGACCACTCCCAAGGTCACTCCCAAGGTCACTCCCAAGGTCACTCCCAAGGTCACTCCCAAGGTCGCTCCGAATGTCACTCCTCCAAGGTCACTCCCCCCAAGGTCACTCCCCCCAAGGTCACACTCCTCTGGCCTTGGGGGGAGATTTGGAAATGGCTAAAGCCCTCTACTCTCAGAGCCTTCCATTTATCAAAAACCCGTTATTAAGTTTAGGAAAACATGCACTTTGACATGGGCATTGGCAGGCGAATTCACTAGTTAGCATTCGAACTTCCAACTCCAAGTGAGTCTATACTAAATTATGTAATTTCCTCATATCAATTTCCTTTTTTGTATTGTAGAATTTTTATTATGCTGAAGATGGTATCTTCTAAGACCGAAACGTGTTCCTGATTGTATAACAACGTCATTGATATTTGTGGAGATGATTTTGGGCATCCTTTCATTCCTTGTTCCATTAGGTTGCTTCCAAAAATCGTATTAAGTTGTGTGAGAGTAGTTTTCACAAGGGTTGCCTGCTCTGAATACCTAAATGCCAGTTCAAACTGGCAATGAATGATGGCTAAGTGCCAGTTCGAACTGGCAATTATGGCTGATTACCAACTCAAACTGGCAATTACATAAAAATTGTCATCATGTCCGTTCAGCGCTTTCGTAATTTTGAATAAATCCAAAGACAGAAAGCTGCGTAATATTATCTACTAGAGACATCGAACAAAACGAAGGAATGTGAATCAGTCTGTCAAAACCTATAAATCAATAAGAATTCGAAATGATTATCGACTTAATTTTGTCGATAATATCTCACTTGTCTGTATCAATGAATATATTGCTGTAGCAATTTTGTAACTGATCACATTGAATCTCCATATAATTTTTGTTGAGCAGGGTAGTTCCTGCATATTTCTACATTGATGATGAAGAAGAATGAACAGTGAATCTCATTATTCAAGGTTTCTGTTAGTCATATTTTCATATTGATGAAGAAGAATAATCTCATGAACATTTTCTTCAGATATGAATTGGTATTCCAAATAACAATAGATATTCATCAACAACGATCTCAGCATTGTTCGAATTATTACTAAACTCACTGGTATGGAAATCATAACATGGCATGTAATTGTATGCCTGCTAGATATTGTAATTCTCGTCTTTCATTCCAACCCAAGAATTCCAATAATAAACCGCTTAATTCAAAGTCGTCGGTTTTAGAACGAATGCGTCGAGTTCAAAGAAATCCAATGAAAACGGCATCTGAGCTCTGGAATCATTTGTTATTTCTCACTTGAACGGCTCATTTCAGGAATATAGGCGTCGTATTGCGAACTGTAGAGGGAAATTCTGGAAACAATGACTCGTGGAATGTGTCGTAGACAAAAGGCATTTATGGCAGTCAATAACTCCGACAAATATGATGATATTATCCAGGAAGAAATCGCTTTACAGATAGGGAATGTTTTAGAGGTCGATTTTTATACAAAGCACGTACATATTACTCAAAAGGGGTGCCAATAAGAATTTAAAGGGGAGACTGATCGAAAATCCAAGTACCTACTTATGAATACCTGTGTCTATTTCTTGTCGAATAAAGCATGTCATAAAATGATATATTGGGAATCGAAAATATCCTATCGATCTCTTCTGCCATACAAAAGCATAAAGCAAATTTCTGAGACCAGAATAGAGCAATAAAACCATTGTCTGTAGAATAGATTTCCAATGTCTGTAGTCAAGATTTCCAGATCTTGATTATCTTCCAGCAAATTCACCAAGACTGATGGGTATGAATCTTCTTACCTCCATTTCTGACAGGTGCTGGAGATGAATTGAAGTGGTATCTGATTTTTTGCTAACACGAATTATGTGATGTGTTTCCTATTATTGTTTGGTACAACAGCAAGATATCTATCGTCGATGAATTTTAGTGGGAGGAATAATTCACACATACCTGCCTCTCTACCTACCTCCTACTTCATACCTCTTTTGATCGTTCGGCGCAACAATACCACACAGCACATGACATCCATCCATTAGACGTCCATTTCAGGTCCATTTCAATTCCAAACGTAAAAAGTGGAAAAAGAAATAGTAGGATGCAACCCATTGAACAAGAAAAGGAATATAACAAAGATGAGAGGGAGAATAAATTACAGGCGATCCATGGTCGGGAAGTGGTAGGGAGTGAGTTTTCGAGGGTAAAAAACGGTTTGTTACGATTTCCGGCAGAACTTCAAGCCCTATGTAAAAAAGTGGTGTGGCAAACTTGTAGGTAATAAAAAGAGCTCTAACTTTTATACCCACACTTTTTTCATAACTACAAAATTTATGTGTTCAAATAACCAATAAGTTATTGATTTTTTATTTTCATCTTATCTACATAGAAATTTGATGAAAACTCACCTCTTCATGTCCCAATTACACTATGATTATTTTTATTCGAAATATTAATTTTTTCACCTTATTTTGACTCAATATCGAAAAAGCAGAAACCAAAAACCAAAAAATTGGTTATTTGAATTTCCCACATAATTTCTTAGTTTATGTGTAAAAAGTGTTATCTACAAGAGATATATGAATATTAATATTTCCAAAAACTTTGTTCTTTAACTTTTGCAATGACGAAAAGGCGAAGTATCAGCATAAAGCTGTTTTTCGACTCAACCCTTACAGAAATGAACTACAAGGAAAAAAAGTAGTAGATTTCAGCTCCGCTACGCGTCGGGAGACAAAAAACCGTGAGCTAAGATCTAATATTTTTCCCGTGTATAATACACTATTTTTTTCTGTGACAGAAGAAAGGACGAATCGATATTGAGAAGATATTACATTATTAAGAAATCTGAAAATTATCGACGTGGAATTTTAAGTTTTTAACAGTAGGGACACCTGCGTTGTAGGCATCTTTATCATTCTTTTGAAGTAATCAAATATCTGATGTCACTTCTGTTAGTTCTAATTCTGTGATTTGATTTCAAAAAATGGCGAATTCAGTGGTTGTTTAGTAATATACGTAACCGCGAAGTCGAATGGAAGATAAAAGGACTTGCAGTTCTTTCTCGGAGACGGTATTATTGACTCATTTTTCGGAACGATAGCACAACAAAAGCCATCAAAAGTGTATCTATATGTGATATATATCCTCACTTTTTCCCCACGGGTAAAAAATTAGTACAAAAAAATGGCATTTTATAACCTGCCAACAAGATGAAATGCCAAACTTTTTTCCCGTCACAGAAAAAAATTAGTTTTTTGATAGATATAGCGAAAACGATGAAATGAACAGAGATCGACCGTTTTTCAGACTCAAATGCTAACCCTCCCCCCACTTCCCAACCTCACATCGACCGTAATTCATCTCTTCTTTCGTTTTTGTTATATTCTCTTCCTTTCTCAATTGCTTTCATTCTACTATAATTTATTTCGGTTTAAAAAATTATCGACCTGGCCAATCGATTTGTGTTCAATATATATATTCATTTCGATAACACCCTGTATGTTTATTCCAGGATATCATCACAACAGAGTCCTTCATCTCACTATTATGTTCAACATTCTGGTACTGGGAGTCGTCGTATCATGCCCAGATCCGGCTCCGATCAACATTTGCCACAGACAGAGTACTCGGATTATACCAGCATCACCCAGGCAGGAAGGCACAGCTTGCTGCGCAGCAGTCTCAAGTCTGGATCTACTATGAGCAGGTGAAACAGCGATCCAATGTGGATGCAATTCGATAATTCAGGTCCATTTCGGGTTGTTAACGGTTGATCTGTTTTGTTCGGAAATTTATTGGGATGACCTTATACTGATACTTGATTTACAAGACGGGTTCCATATATTGACGACCATGGTCATAAAAAGTAGAACAACCTAGGGTGATTTGAAGAATGGTCACCTCCCTGCTAGGATAGATAGAACACTGCATAATAAGTATGCTCAGTTGAAAAATGTCGTAACGGCATCCGTTTTCAAGATACAAAAGGTGTTAAAAAATGTTTTCTCATTCATTTTCCACGATTAGGTCAAAACTGCTGTCAACATCCTGATGGAATCTTCTATGAATATGTTCTGGAAGCTGTCACATCCCATGAATTCGTTTTTATATCTGACTTCCATAGAGTGTGCTAGTTGTACAGATCGTACCAAGTAATTTTAAACATAATTTTTTTGGTACGCTTAATAAAACGCCCCATAAGTCGAAACTTGTGCGGGGTTAGGTAGGCATACAGACACAAACATCCATGGCCTAACTAGGATTCGAACCCATGTTTCGGTGGGAGTCCCCATACGAACTCAGCGCATTCACGCTCTCGGCCACCGAGTCATCAACAAAATATATGGTTTCCTCGGAAGAAATCGATCTAGAATAAAGTCGATGTTGATTCAACTATGAACATTTTGTTGATTTGATGAAATAATGATCATTTTGATGAGAATATATCTTTGAAACAACATACAAGTTTTCCTATTCCGATCTAGCAATGAACTCGTTTCGAACAGATGTGCTTGAATAGAGCAACGGAATATGTAATATCAATGAAATATTTTGTTCATTCTACATCAAGTTAAATTTCGCCTCTAGATGGCGATCATTCCGCCTCGTATATGCCTGCCTCGAATTCATTATATACGTGGGGCCTGATTCTTCGTGTTTGAAATATTAGTTGAATAAATCGAACTTAGGATGATTACCAATCCAAAATACTTTTGCATCAGCTGAAGAGAAGTGAAGACTGGAGATGTATGCTAGAAGTCGACTAGTTTCCTAGTTCACTTTATTCTATTGATGTGAAATTTCAGAAAATCGCCGAATCAATACTGGATTTGGTTCAACAAAACGATTGTCGAATGGAAATATAGTTTCTCTTGAATCCACGGAATATTTCATTGAATCAACAAAATATTTCATTGAATTAAACCGAATATTTCATTGAATCAATCGAATAATTCATTGAATCAACCAAATATTTCATTGAATCAACCAAATATTTCATTGAATCAACTAAATATCTGATTGAATCAATATCTTGTTATTTTTAATGAAACAATAATGAAACAAAATGATTGTATGAGCCAGTCAAATATCTCTTCATAAATAAATCATGGATGTGCGTGATTGGACAAGATCCAGATTTCATGCAAGACATATTTATTTAATGCAAACTTCAACTTCTCTGAAACAAGATATAGATTTACTCATTTCACGTTTACGTTTTGTCGTGCATATATGACACTTCGATCTGTTTCATTCAATCAAATTTTGCTTGATTCAACAATTCCTTGTTGAAGCGGAACGGGCATCAAACTTTGATTTCCAAATGAAACACCCTGTATTTTATTCTAACACCTGATGTGAGATGTGTGTTCACCTAATCGTGAAATATACTGAGTGCGCAAACAGTTTCTGTTATATGATTGAGTTAACATTCTAATCAAATCAAAGATGGATGAATGAAGAATTATTCGAAATTCTTTAGGTATAACCAACGATTCGTGGATCAAGCAGCTGTAGCGGCCCAAATTGCTCAATCCAAATACGGTACCACTGGTTCTCAGTACAGTACCTCTGGTACAATGAGAAGAAATAGAGGCAGCTTGGATTATTCCAGCGACACAGAGGCTACCAGTGGATCTAGAAGCGGCTATTACTATTACAGGTGGGTTATATCATTATCACATTCGAGTTCTGAGTGATGAGGTTCAAAGTGGTGTGTGAATCAATTTTAATACTGAAGTGGAAGTTGACTTCAGGAATGAAAATGTAGTCAATCAACTTGGCGTTTTTATGCTTCTGAACATCAATAATTCTCTGATATAAGTTAGAATGGGTTTCACTTGGCAGGCCATTGAGATAAACGCTTTTTCGAGAGAAATGAATGTGACGGCATATTTCATTATATTACTTGGTAAGAATTTATGAAAATTACATTGGGTTGCTGGGATTCAATGATAAAAGAGTTCAGGAAACGTTGTAAATAATTCTGATTCGGAAGTAGGTGAATCAGTAATGCGAGGAAGTTGGCGGAATTATCAACCTTGCATGATTAAAGGAAGATTGATCGAGTTTGTCTACACTAACTGATAATGACAATGATGATAATCTTTTTTTTTTGAGAGATGATGATTTCTCACGAGTTTCGAATATATCTTCTTCATTTTCCCAACAATTGTTAGCGATAACTCCATTGTATGTGAAGGTGGTCAAACTCTGATTTGCTCTCACTAAATGTAGATAAAATCAAGTTTTCCTTGGACAGACGTATATGTGGATTTCTTTAGATTCATTTGGATAACAACCTGAATTTTGAGAATCGTATGAAGTCCTTGAATGAAAAACTAGCGTCTGGGTGCTATGTCTTGTGGTTGGTGTTACGAGAAGTGGGATAACCTACTACAAACGTAGTATACCACGCGCTTTGATCGTATATTGAGTTTGGTGTACTGGGTACTACCTCCATCAATACCTTCATGAAGGATATATTTATTCTTCGAAAACGGAAAGTTTGAACTTTGCAAAGTTGTAAAGTATCTTGTGAACTTGAAATCCTGATCTCCTCGTCGTGACTCATTGTCGGAAGATCCGTCGAAACAGTGTGTCTATTACATAAAAACAAAGCATCATAATATGATTCATTTGTTGGTATCACTCGCCGGTATTACAATCTGGGACTTCTAACCCTTCATATTCAAGAAATAAATGATCTATAGTGCAGTTAAATTTTATGACCACCTCTACAATAAACATTCATTGTTAAGTCATCTCAGTTTAGATCTGATAAACGAATACTCATAAATAGATGGGATATCTCATGAAGGATCCAATAGTTTCTTGACAAAGATTGGGATGGTCAATATAGATATGTAATATTTTATTTGATATTTGGAATTTTTATTCATTATTTCAAATTTTTTCGCGAACATGTGACTATTATAATAATGAATGTTACATAAATTGCTTCATATGCGATTTCTACTCTTTTATATTCATCATGAGATGTAAGTCTTTCGATAATAAAGTATATTTTGATTTTGATTCAATTCGATGAAGGAGACTGTCGCGTTTGTAGTTCCCTATAACAAAACGGTCAGTGTGACATTTTATATATTTCCCTATTCCTTGATTCTTATGTGAACAGGTTTATCTCCTGGAGACTCATATTAAAAAATCTGTTCACTTAGTCCTTTCCTGAGATTCTCATATCAGGACGTAGAATTTCAGATATACACTATACAGTCGTGTTGTTCCTTCCTTCTCATTGTTCATAATCTGCAATAGATTGATTCCATTCATTGCAGATGTATTCTCAGCAGTGATTGATCTATTTGTAGTCCAATCACAAACCCAAGATGGACCCTATTCAATTTAATACAGATACCAAAGGTCAGACCAATTGATTGCTTCTCTATCACATATTGCTATATCTGGCGATCTCCTATTCTACTAAATGAAGTAATGATTCGATAGGTAAATGCCTTTACTGCTATCTTTACTTGTTCGTCTGTCCAATTATTGGCTCATATTCCTCCCTGTCTAAACACCTCCATAAAATTTCCATAATTGGAAATAAGTTGATGTCAAATTATACTGAATCGCCTACCTTGGTATGCAAATATGCGAATATCATATTACAAGATGATTTTGTATTTTCTCAGGAATCAGGGAACAACAGCGGTTCCGCACAGTACAATACCGACATTGGGAAGGCAGAACTCCATGACAGCAACTGATATCACCACGAAGTTCAACTCTCTGCCCCGAGATACTAGGGGATCAACAAGGTAGGTGAACATTTGTTCCACGATAGAAATCATCCATTTATGAATCCTTTCTGAGAAATAGTTCCGAAGTACTTTGTCAGATGTATAGTTGTATAATATCTTGAATGTCTATCAGTGTGCATGTCCAGTGTTCGATGCTTTTGCCCGATATCTCAATTATCTTCGAAGCTAAAGTGATACGTATAATATCTTGAATGTCTATCAGTGTGTCAGTTTTCGATGCTTTTACCAGTTTTGCCCGATATCTCAATTATCTTCGAAGAAGAAGTGATGCGGGTTCCACATCATTGGCTTACTTTTTCGTGAAATAGATAGCGCCGCAAACAGAACTCTCACAGTCCTCCTTGTTTTCGAGATACAGGGCAAAGTTGAAAATTCTCACTTCTCGAACACCTTCCGTTTCATTTCAACTTATATCAGCAAGAACGAGGGTCTTATATAACTCTGTACGTATTATACAATGGCGTACTCATTTTATTTCGATATTCACTCATATTTGGAAAATGAAAAAAAAATATTCTTTTCAAATAGGAAACCCTGTATATTTCTATACAGCTATGTGGAAAACACATTACTCTATCTGCAAAGATAACTGAGATATCACACAAACTACGGCAAAAGCATCGAAAACTAGACACGCTGTACATCTTCTTGAAGAGAAAATGCTGCAAAGTATTCCTAATTTGCTACCAAATAACTGTAGATATATAACCTCTTCTTATTCTAAATGATAAATTCCGAAACATTATTGAGACGTTTCTCTGAAATTGTTTCTCTTTCAAGACTTTTGCTTGTCAATTCACGAGGAATAACTAGAATATAATTCACGATACTTCTGTGTATTACTTTGGAATAGGAGTAATATTGAATTAATGCAGACATTTTATTGAATTCATTCGGTGTCAGATGCTATATAAGGTCAAATCTGCACAGAATTCTCAATTGTTAGAGAGATTCAATGATGGTGTTTGTTATTTTGAATACACATATATAATTGAATGAATTTCTGAAAAGTCATTATATAGCAGATGAGGTGAAGGAAATGGCATACCTACTTCCATATCAATTCGGTTCGTCATCTTGTCAATTTGAATATCTAGGGTTCCCCAGCAAACACCATGTGAAGTCACATATAACCGAGATATCAATATCAATTATTTATAATGAATAATTTGTTGGGCATCATCAAATTAACAACTCGAATTTCACATTCATCATGTCTAAACCAATATCTGGAATATAATCAGCTCGAGGTTTGGAATATATTGAGATGAGCCTATATTCTTGGAAACTAGTCAGCATTCCATATTCTACCCGGACTGTTTGATATATTCTCATCTCTATATTCTATTGTCATGAACTTTCTGAAATGATTGAACTAATCGTTTGATATTTCACATCACCAACATCCGATTTTCTATTTCATTAGATTGAGATGATGATATCGCGTATCTGCATTGGTGAATTATTCATTCAAAAGGAACAAGTTCAGGAATGAAAAACTATCGATTAGATCCAATGATCCTAATCTCGTGGGGTGGGGGACAAGACTTGAAACCCAAACTATGCAAAATGGCTCATTATCAGAACGTGGCGCTCTCGTTTCAGATTGCCGATGAATAAAAGATTCGGGGATAGGAGCGTGAGTCTGCTGCAAGACGAATCGGACGGAGCACTTTCCGCACCTGAAATGCCCTCGATACGCAGGGAGCGAGGTAAGTGGCTAGAATATTATTAATGTATGGAGGAAGTGCGGCCGGTAGAGTTTTTCGAGAGTTCGTATGCGCGTCAGCCAGGAATTCAGGTTAGGTTGATGGGGTTTCAGCTATAGGCCAATCATTTTGGCGTTCGAAATAAAAAATTAGGAGAGACTAGCAAAACGTTTTAAACTTCCACAGGAGTTATATCCCTAATAACACACTTATGTCCCATGGATATCCTTAGGACGTCCTACCGGGACATTCAGGACGAACATAGGAAGTTCGAATTTGGTACCGTGGACGTCCATTGGACGTCTGTGGGACGCACAAATGTCCCACTTGAGGACCAACTAGGGACGTCCTTGAGGGATGTCCCTGGGACAACTATCGAATACCTAAATCCTACACTATTCCTCATCAAGCACTTCAGAGGACATCCTCAGGACATCCATTGGATAACCTATCAGCAACGCTGAGGGATATCAATTGGATGTCCATTGGATGTCCCAGGGACGTACGAATTATTCTTGAATTCGAATTTTTCTGGGTCCCTCTAGGATCAGATCTTGAAAAACTGAATAGAACATCCAGTTGAATTGATGGTCCGTAGAAGGTCCCCAAAAAGTTTCTCAAGGATGTCCAATGGACTTACGCGAAGGACATTGACGAGGAGTACTTATAGCCTACGAGCAATCATTCGTCGGCGAGGTGTAAGTTAACGTCCTCGCAGGGACAACATATTGAAAGTACCGACTGGGACGACCATAGGACGTTATTTTTAGGACATTGAAAGAGTACAGTTCATGTACCAATTGGGACATCCGACGGATATCCCTAAGTGATATTCGAAGGATGTCCCTAAGGGACATTTCGATTTTTATACGATCCTGGAAATATTGAGGGCGTCTGTGCAGAGATATTTGAAGCAATGTACCATCAGGGACATTTCATGGTTGTCTAGAAACGACATTATATAAGATCTTAAGTCATGCCAGAATATGTACTACTCGGGACATCCGATGGATGTCCCTAAGGGAACGTTTAAAATCATATCCCATCAGGGACATGCCAAGGAAGTCCTTGCATGGACACTTATTTTTGGTTCGGGGCATTCGGACGTGAATTGTACCAAATAGGGACGTTCCTAGGACGTTGTGTGCTATTAGGGTTTAAATATCCAAAGAAGTGAAGACTCGGTTGCAACGGCAACGCTCTTCATCTCACTGAATCACAAATTATCGATTTTATCCCGATTACCTGCAATAGACGGTCGACGCGTTATAGAACTTGTGACGTCAGTACCGCTGACGATTTTCTGTCGTGTTCTAACGGAGTATATCTTTGGGAATTTATTTTGAGAAATCTAGAAGGAATGAGAATTCAACGAAATTCTCTATGCACGTCATAGTATTTTTACTAGAAATGCCTGTTCTTGCAAATAGGTCACGACTACCGCGGGGCCATTGAAATCGCTATCTGATTACCTGTCAAACGACCGCAACCGTTAGAGTACCAATAGGGCAAAAAATTATACAATTCATTGAATATAATATTGTGTCTTCTTGGAAAAAGATATATATATATATATGGAGGGTGCATTCTTTGCAGATGAGTACAGGCAATGGCTGAGCCGAACGCCATCTACGTCTGCTATCTACGAACAAATACGTGCGTCCAGAGACGTACTGAACCAACAAAGAGCCGCTAGGTTCACATACAGTGCTGAAAACATCCACGACGCATTGAAAAACGTAAGTTCGACAGCTATACTGGGTGTCCCAGATACACGTATCATAGGAACAGAATGTTCTATCTGGAGTGCCTAATGCATTTCGTGTAGATGATGTGACAAGTCGTTAAATAAAGATAACATTCCATAACGTCGGCTTACAATCAAAACCTCCTAAGTTCGAATTCTAGGGAATTTCAGGTTTGAACATTTTCACAATCTACGAAATTCAGCGCACCCATCACCAGATCATCGTAAGTCTATGTTATAATCTAAACCTCCTAGCTCTACTTGGAGAGATTTCGAACTCAAAAACTCGTAAGTCTGCAAGAGAGAATAGGGTTAAGTTGTGCTTGTTGAGAAAGTATAAATCTCTATTGTTTGAATCATTATTTGAAGTGAAATCCATGTCATTCACCAGTGTAAGTTTATGATGAACTATTTGGTCAATCTTCTCGAATATTTCTGCAGTGATGCGAAGGACAATCTTGTTTTGATTCTTCATGTGGACAGACATACGAGGTTTTGATCTGTATAGTATCTATCTAGTAGAGGACTTAAGAGCTTTTGAGAAGATGTATTCCATCAGCATCGTTATGGATATTTGTATAATTTTATTATTCATTCCAAATGAAGACATTGATTGAAATATTTCGGTTCATTATTGTTGAACCCATATTTCTCATTGTTATAATACTGCGCTGATTTGCTACATGCACTGTGAAGCAAACCCAAACTAAATGACAATTCTCACTAATAATTGATCAAAACCAATAATTCAGTCTGAATAATGTTAATTTTTGTAAACACTTCGTATGTCGTTGATTTGAACGTTGAGAATATAAATCTTCTCAGAATGTTGATTTCATTCATCAAGCAGGTACCTTTATGAAGGAGGGAGAGGTTAATAAAAATGAAACTGAATCGTTCGAAGAACCTAGCGGAAAACGTTTTTCCCCTCCTGGACAAATTAGCTCTGAAAGACTTAGGTACGAGGTTTTGAAAGTGAGCCGACGGTAAGTTCTTGTCAAGATATCACCTAGTATATCATCTTCTCTGAATTCACTCCGAGAAAAGTAATTCCTGCATTTTTCAAACTCCTAATGAAGTTGTTGGAGTAGAAGCACCAAGATGAAAACTGCGTATTGCAGTTTGGCGAAGTTTAAATGAAAATAAATGTTCAAAGCAGATTGAGATTAGGTAGAGTTCCAAAGTTGTATTCAAGAATCACAATTTACGATGCATCGTGAGATAAAAAGAGATAATATTTCCAGATTGAGAGCGGATTATACAGCGGATATGGTAGACCAGGAGCAACTTCCACTTTGGACAGACACTTCACGAGGTCGCAACAACCTAGTATTCCTGCGAGGTCTTTATCAACGCAACATATCACATCATCAGGTAATTGAACAACTTTTCCCTCAATATTATTTCAGAAATTAAACAGCGTCAAAGTGTTTCGGAACAAACGTGATTCTGATCATGGAAATAATTTCAATACTGCTGCCGACCGATGAGAAGCTACTTTATAGTCTAAGATCCGAACCTAAATCGACCTTCACCGAGCTGATAATAGAACGAAATATATTTTATCATGAATTTGGTATATTAGAAAACATATTAAAAATGGGTTGGCTAAAAAAATCCTGGGCAGACTATTTTTAATTATTTTTCGAAAAATTATTTTCAATTAAATGTTGCAACATCAGGATAATAAAAAAATTGTGTCCTGACTGAAAGTATAGAACGTATAGAATGTGCAGCCGTTGGGTTGTCTACTATTTACCTGGGCGAACTACTGGGTTGTCAGGTAAACACAGGTATATCGATGCCAGTTACTTTCACTGGATTGGATAATTTAAAAAAATTTATATCATCATAAGCGCTGTTTAATTGCGAACACGTTGATATAGGGTTGTCTGCGAAAATTCCGGTCCTATTAGGGGTTTGCGAATTTTAAAGATTTTAATTTCAACGCGCGTGGAAGTGTGTGACAGAGAGATCCGAGGTAAGTATACTGTGTAATAATAAAGGACCCAACATCGCAGTCGCTTGTGATGGGACCCTGAATAGTAGAAAGTGTGCGAAGTGTGCGAAGTCAAATCCTGAAAACTATGGTTGGCATTTTGATGATTTCTTAAAACCAACAGGATTTATCGGAGATCAAACTCCTTTGGAAATCCAGGACATTGTCGAAATGGAAGCAAATGAGGAAGAATCTAATGAATCAGACGAATTCGAGAGTCAAAATGATACTTCTGATGAATCAGATATTGAATAGAAAATATTTATTAGAATTTATTTTTCATTATAATTATTTTTGTATTTATACTGTTTTTTAATAAAATTTTAAATCGTAATACAAGATGTCTAGTCTATCTTTTTTGTTATTTCTTAATTTAAATTTTTGGCGGTCCACTTTGTTTCTATTTCCAGAAAGAGCAAAAAAATGTCAAAGTAAGTATTTGATATTTTTATTGTCTATTATAGATTATAGATATATCATTATGGTTATAACGCAATAAATTGATATTATATTGTTTTTATATATTAGTATTATATTAAATATATTTAATTATTATGTAATTAATTAATAATTTGATTTTGCTACTGAAATATCAGTTGCTCCAAAATAACACGCACTGTTTACTATATGAAGGGTAGTAGAGGTACCTCTACCCTCCATAGTTTACACACAGAGCATGCGCACTTTCTACTATTCAGGGACCCATCACAAGCGACTGCGATGTTGGGTCCTTTATTATTACACAGTATACTTACCTCGGATCTCTCTGTCACACACTTCCACGCGCGTTGAAATTAAAATCTTTAAAATTCGCAAACCCCTAATAGGACCGGAATTTTCGCAGACAACCCTATATCAACGTGTTCGCAATTAAACAGCGCTTATGATGATATAAATTTTTTTAAATTATCCAATCCAGTGAAAGTAACTGGCATCGATATACCTGTGTTTACCTGACAACCCAGTAGTTCGCCCAGGTAAATAGTAGACAACCCAACGGCTGCACATTCTATAAGTTTTATACTTTCAGTCAGGACACAATTTTTTCATTATCCTGATGTTGCAACATTTAATTAAAAATAATTTTTCGAAAAATAATTGAAAATAGTCTGCCCAGGATTTTTTTAGCCAACCCATTTTTAATATGTTTTCTAATATACTAAATTCATGATAAAATATATTTCGTTCTATTATCAGCTCGGTGAAGGTCGATTTAGGTTCGGATCTTCTACTATTAGTATACTTGTCCGCATACTCCGTTGCTATGGTTACGTCCAACATATCAGGTGTCGAGATCCATCATTTTATGAAAAATCTTTCTATATTTGAATGCCCATATATGACCCATCCACGATCAAAATGGTGAAATGAAACTGGAAATGACAATATTTTCGCACAACTCATTACGATAAAGAATATATGATCTTCTTTGATGATTATTCGAAAACGGTTACTAATTTTATACCAGGTGACTCAACCTATCGGGTCACCGTTGTAACTTCTGCATTCGCGAACGAATTTTTCTGAAATTCAGTATGGGTTGCAATAATTTCGGATTTGATCACATCAAAATCCAGTATGGCGGACTGTCGGTTTTTATCACATTAGAACCTCGAACGACAGACACAAGAAATAATGAAATCAATCAAAGCAACGCTCTGGAGATGGAAGGAAACAATATTATTGATTGAACTGAATCATCACAAGATGATGTCTCACCATTGGTTATGAAATTCATGTAGTGGAGGTATTTTTGATACCTATACATCACTTTTGATCGAACTATTGGAGTTGTATCGGGTTTAACGAAAATAATTGATAGTTTCATGAAAATAACTGATACAGGTAAACTCAAAAAATTTTAAGTATGTGGGACAAGTTCCATAATAATAATAATAAAGTTTACATAATATATGTTTTGGAAGTATACATATTATTGGTATTGAATAAACGAAGAAAGGAAAGGAAAATGGAATTTTTTTCTCGAAAAACTCTCTTATTTACAATTGAAGATCTACCAGAGGCGCACCACAGAAAATTTTATGGAGCAAAAATTGATCTGAATAAATCGGAAACAAAAAAAAAAAGAAAAATCTTGAAATTTTAACTCTCAGTAGATTGCTAATGAGGCGTTCGCGAATCATTTTTATAGAATATACTAGCTGTCGGACCCGAACCTATAGCTACTATTATATACTAACTCACACCTATTTTCATTCTCTCAGAACCTGTTGTATTTTTTTTTGTTTTACGTATTGAAAATTCCAACCCATTCGGTGAAGCCGTTTAGTAGTTGACATTTGGGCTTTTGAGTTGTAATCAACCTATTCGATAAAAAGAAATAAATGGAAGCAAACTAATGATTCTATTCAATACTTTGTCACAAAAAGGTGTTTTGAGCTAACAGTCATATTTCTCGTCAGCCAGCGCGAGAGCGAGAGCCTTCTTCTCGTCATCAGTCATCGTGTCACAGATAACAACGCAAATCGACATCTTTCACTGAACCAACATGTTGTCATTTGTCTGTCACCACACTCCACCATATGTTGCCAAGTCCTCAGCATTGCTGCCAGTTGCCACGTTGCCAGCTCGTATCGTATTTATCCTTCAATGTCCTGACGTGGCACAAGAGTTTGCTTCCGCGGAAGCCTATTGTTGGAGACGGCCACAGACGTACTGACAGTAGCGCCACCTACCGCGTAAAATCGTATTTTCAAATCATCCAGGAAACCATCGAAATTCTATATAAAATTTCAACCCAATCGGTTCAGCCGTTTAGAAGTTATGTGGAGAAGTTGAAAAAGAAAAGTACCTACGGAACAAATAAACAAAAAACAAACAAACAAACAATAATATTAGTATAAAAAAGTCTTATTTTGATCTGAAAAATAAGCCCCTGAAATCTTGATACTGAATTTTGACACATCCTCTATACAATGTTGCCAATAACTAATGAAGTCAATTTCGTGAGATCATTTTCCTAGGAACTTTTCAATTCAATAGGAGCCGTTGTTAATTTCGAAAAATTTCTCACTTTCACAGTCGGATTTTTCATTCATGTCAACCCTATTTCTATATTCGTCCTTTGTAGCCTCTATCCTTCACGATCCACTTATACTTTCTCCCAGCCTTGGGTAATTCAAGATCTCTCTCGATGTGCCGCAAGCCACAGCTTCTCGACCTGGATTCCGTGAGAGCCGGCACCCCTAGTCCCGTGCCAATTTCTCGAATTCATTGATCAATTTTGTTAAAAAAATGCATCACCTTCAACTGAGCTAAAATGAACATTTTCTCGAGATATTCGACCCAAATTAGGAGTTATCAATAGTTATGTACCTTACAACCCTAACAGCACACAACGTCCTAGGTACGTCCCTATTCGGTACAATTCAAGCCCGAATGTCCCGGGCCAAAAATAAGTGTCCTTGGGACGTCCCAACTCGTACATCTCATGCAATGTCCGAGCAAGGACGTCCACGGAATGTCCCAGCAGATACATCATTTCGAATGTCCTAGAAATAGCATCCGTTAGACGTCCCACGTGGTACATATTGTAGAGTGCAAGGACGTTCTTGGCATGTCCCTGATGTGATATGATTTTAAACGTTCCTTTAGGGACATCCATCGGATGTCCCGAGTAGTACATATTCTGGCTTGACTTCAGATCTCATATAATATCCCTTATAGACAACCATGAAATGTCCCTGATGGTACATGCCTTCAAATATCTCTGCACAGACGCTCCTGATATTTCCAGCATCGTATAACAATCGAAATGTCCCTTAGAAACCCCCTTCGAATGTCCCTTAGGAATATCAGTCGGATGTCCCAATTGGTACATGGTACATTTAATGTCCTGGAAATAACGTCCTACGGACGTCCCAGTCGGTACTTTCGATATGTTGTCCCTGGAGGACGTTAACTTACACCTTGCCGACGAATGATTGCTCGTAGGCTATAAACACTCCCCGTCAATATCCTTCACTTAAGTACAATGGACATCCTTGGGAAACTTTTTCAGGATCTATTGGAGACCTTCTACGGACCATTAACTCAACTGGATGTCCTTATCAGTTATGCAAGATCTGGTCCTAGAGGAACCCAGAAAAATTCGAATTCGAGAATAATTCGTACGTCCCTGGGACATCCTATGGACATCCAATTGATATCCATCAGCGTTGCTGATAGTTTGTCCTACAGATGTCCTACTGTAGGATTTAGGTATTCAATAGTTGTCCCAGGGACATTCCTCAAGGACGTCCTTAGTTGGTCCTCAAGTGACACATTTGTGCGTCCAACAGACGACCAGTGGACGTCGGTACCGACAGGACGTCCTAAGGATATCCATGGGACATAATTGTGTTATTAGGGAAAT